TACTGTATGAGCCAACACATATATTACAATCGAAGCAAATAGCATTGACTTTATTAATATTTACTAATTTATCCGACTGTTCTGTAGTCGATGCTTCAACTACTCGCTTTTTAAATCCAAGCAGTCGACCTATGGAATCATTCGAGGAAAAGTCAATTCGTTTAGAACAAAAAATTGAACTCTTGTGTGTTGTGTTGGAATTTGATTCCAGAATAAAATCGACCTTCTCTTTAAATATCTTTTTCACTTGGTTTTTGACGTATTTCTCGATATCTGTTAAATCGTACGTTCCCTCTGGAATAGTTATAACTTTGTCTCCTATATGTAACTTGTTATTACCGGGTTCAATATTTGGTATGCTCATGTACGTCTCGAAATCTGCTAGTCCCAAAAAGTATTCCTTATCATCATCTAAATAAATTGGCGGATTGAAATCGGCGGATAATATAGAAGTTTTCCCACTTATGGAAATCGTAGTGGACATTGCGAATCTAAATTAATCACTGACGTTTCACTTTAACGGCATGTTATTATATAGAAATTTTAGTGACAGATGTCCGCAATTGTAAGAACTGGACTTTTGTTTGGTTTCATAAGTGTAATATATGTTAACATTTCCGTTAGAATTAAGATATTTAACTAATTCTACAGGCGGTTTCAAATTTCCGTAACCATCAAAGTAGAAAGCCTTAGTTTTGTCCTTTATGTAGCTGACCCAATGAGTTCCCTGGTTTTTCTCACTATCCAAGTTAACAATTCCGCATTCTTCAATTTTAATTTTTCGCGGTAAATTATCACGCATAAAAACGCCCCTGAAATGCGGAATTTGTAGTATTTTTGCATATTTTTCCAGATCGAAATTTGTCAAAGCTCTTCGAGGTAAATTTATTTGGACTTTTTTTTTCTCTTTTGGGTATTTTTCTCCTTCGACACAACACCGCCCTTATATGGTTTAATATAAAGACCTTTTCCTTCACTTCTACTGTTTTTAAACGGTTTTACGTATAGTCCTTTGCCTTGGGCTTCGATGGCTCTGTTATGACGTTCTTGTTCTGCCAACTGCTCTTTGGCCGCTTTAGCATCGTTTACTGCTTTCGCGATACCTGCCGCTCCTCCGCCTAGCGCGCCAAGTGCTCCCAATATCGGTAGTAAAAGAGGTAAAAATCCACCAATTTTATTAGGTGTTTTTATAATACGCTTTTTTTTGCTCGCTTTCATTTTGCTTGCTTTTTTAACACCCATTCCCAATTTTCGCTTTCCTTTCATTACACCTGTTATGCCTAAAGCGGCTGTTTTTTCTCCAAACGAAGAGTCCTTTGCTTTAACCCTCTGCCAAGCTTTATCTTCAAAGATCTTGTCTGCTTCGTGTCTCTTTGTTAAATTGTTAGACTGAGAGTATGCTATATCGTGCTCTTTACAAGCAGCGTCTAAGGGATTTATACCTGGGTCACCTCTATTTATTCTCTTCTGTAAATGAGTACCCGGTCCGCAGAATTGGTAACCAGGAATATGCAGTTCGATAGGAAGTTTGTTTATAAGTTTATTTACCAATCCTGAACCTTTCGCCCTGTTTCGATGTACAATCATGAGAGTGTTTGGAAATACTGTTTAAATATTTAGGAATTATGCTATAAATACTTTTGCAGGTTCTTGTTAATGCCTCAGTCGAAATGAAAGTTGTTAAGCAAGCCTTTTCTTTACCCGTAAAAAACCACGACGCAAGCTTGGTCCGCGAATTTCAAAAGCACGGCGATCTCTTTGGAGGTAGTTGCAAGAGGGCACTAATTGTAGGACCCTCAAATTCGGGTAAAACCAACGTCATGTTATCATTGCTCGAACATCCTAATGGAATTAGATTTGAAAACGTTTACTTATATTCCAAATCCCTGCAACAGCCAAAATACGTGTATTTGAGAGAACTGCTAAAGCCTTTACAAGAGATTGGCTTTTTTGAGTTTGAGATCGATGAGAATATCGTTTCTCCTCAGGAAATTAAACCCAATTCTGTTATAATATTTGATGATATTCCTTGTCACGACCAAAGTGTCATTAGAGATTATTTCACTCACGGTAGGCATAAAAACAGCGATTGTTTCTTTATTTTTCAAGGATATTCTTCTATACTCAAGCGACTTATCAGGGAAAACGCCAACCTTCTGATTTTATTCAAGCAAGACATGATGAGTTTAAAGCATATATATAACGATCACTGTATGTTGGACATGTCATTTGAACAGTTTAGAAATATCTGTGTGTACTGCTGGAACGAACCTTATAATTTTCTTGTGATTGACAAAGATTGTGAGTTAGATAAGGGCAGATATAGGAAAAACTTCGATTCCTTCATTTATATATAATATCCCAAAATGGATAAACGCCTAGCGACGGAGCTAATAAAATCAAGAAACGCAGTTAGAGAAAAATATCAAAGGCTAAAACAAGCCGCAAGTGAATCCCAGACGCAACTCGAACAAACCTATAAACTCAGCCTCTGCAGCAATTAATTTCATCAATAAATAAAACGGATATCAAACAAGAACCGTTTGAAGAAAAAGAAAATATTAAACATGAAGTGTTAACCTCGACGCCTACCAAAATAAAGGAGAAAAGAACCGGAAAAACCCCAATCTTACCTTCAGAATTGCCCTCATTTTTTGATACCTCCTTTCCGTCGATCCAACAACAAAGCAATGTTGTAGCTGAAAGTACGGGTCTTTCGGACAGCGATACTACGTTGGGAAATCTGTCAGATATTTTAGAACAAACTAAGCAAGCTATACAGGATTACGTCGACACTCCCGCTTACGAGCAATGGTTGAATGACTTTAATAAATTACCACGAACATACATTGATGACAGCGTAAAAGATACCCAACATATATTTGACCATAATTATGGTATCGTTCATGACATACAAAACGATAAATTTTTTCTGGGCTTAACCCAAAAAGCTGTGGAAATTGTCGGTAAAGATGTGAAGGTACAAGGTATTACATACCCTGGGACTGTGGGTTTGTATGAGTTACTTTTCAAGAAGGTGCCGGTCGGTTTCAAATCGCAAGATCTAGATAATTATATGGATATACTGAAAAGAACAAACGCGTATCGGAGAAACCATGACCCTAATGGACAAGTGCAAGGAAATGCATCATATAAATATATAAATATAATTGGACCTTATTTACAGGAGCGAGGAATAACAAAAACAAAAAACCCGGTGAGACGACTAGCTGACGCATTTTCTAAAGTGCCTCCGCCTTATAGGACAATCAAAACTGGGACGGGGTTAACTTTAAAATCAAATAAAGAAAATACAGATTATATTTATTGGGATAATGTTAACGAGCTTGTCGATAGATTAAGACTGTTATTGGCATCTACTGCTGCGGGGCACACGGGACATGAGAACGAAATAGCTTCAATTATTGAAGAACTAAGAGAGGGAAAAGTTATCTTATAAAATAAGCACGACTGAGAGTTAGAAAATTATTTGAGTAACAACCGCTGTCATGACTATTAATAAATTTGGTACACACATTAATCACCACCTTAACGAGAAATACGATAATTCAATGAAGGAGTTGGAAAAACATTTATCCAAAATAGAAGAGCTTGAGAAGACATTAAAGAGCTATCAGGCAGATATCAATTCCCAACTTAATAAACTTTTGCCACAACAAAACCGATATACACAATGGGTGAACAAATACAATACGAGTTTGGACCAAATAAATCAGTTAGCGACAACAACTAATGAATGATTTAAAATGGTGTTTAATTCAAATTGACGGGCAATCGACAAAGTAATGAGCAGTGAGAAAGCACAACTCGTCCGAGAGCTGCACAAGCCGGCACGCAGAAATTACGTGCGTCGCAGAACTATAATACGAGGGCTGGATGATTTGTGGCAAGCGGATTTGGCTCAGCTAGACCGATATGCGAAACAAAATAAAAACTTTAAATTCATACTAGTCGTGATCGATTGCTTTTCAAAATACGTGTGGTGTCGACCGTTAAAAACAAAAACCGGTGTTGAAGTTACCAAAGCGTTTACCCAAATTCTCAAAGAAGGACGCCGGCCGCAAAATCTGCAAACTGATCTCGGCAAAGAGTTTTATAATATCCATTTTAAAAAAATGACGGGTAGGTTTGACATAAATCACTACAGTACATATAGCAACGTGAAAGCTGCCGTAGCCGAGAGAGTTATACGTACTCTCAAGGAAAAATTATTTAGATATTTTTCGTTAAACGGCACCTACAAATGGATAGATGTTTTATCCTCTGTTGTCGAAAAATATAACAGTAACGTGCCCAGGACCACCGGAATGAAACCTAAAGAAGTGAACAAAGATAACGCGCCTAGTTTGCTGAAATCAGCGTACAGTCACTTGAAAATTGTAGGACCATCTAAACTTAAACTGGACGACGTTGTAAGAATCAGCAAGACCAAGCACGTGTTTAGCAAAGGTTATACTCCCAACTGGACCACGGAATTGTTTAAAATCGTAAAAGTGCAGATTACAAATCCGGTAACTTATCTGTTGGAAGATATGAAGGGTAAGCCTGTAATGGGCGCTTTTTACCAGGAAGAATTGCAGAAAACCGTTAACCCTGACGTCTATCTCGTCGAAAAGGTGTTGCGCAAACGAGGAAATAAGGTTCTCGTGCGCTGGTTGGGCTTGGACAAGTCACATGATTCATGGATCGACACCGCGAATATCCTATAAATTTCTTCTATTATTTTTGATTTTGTGAGCGTCCGAGACAGACATGGAACAAATTGTGTTGCCGGATAATTTTTTAAATTTATTGCAAGAGAATGGTTTGATGGGTCCACCGCCTTCGCAGCCACCAACAGATATTCCAAAACGTAAGCGTACTGCTGCAAATTCACGAGTTAAGAAAATAAAAATTGAATCTCTACCGCAAGCACAAGGAGAATGGTTAGAGGCGTTCAAAGATGACAACGAAAAAAGGATAGTTTGTGAGGCGTTCAATTTGAAAAACAATTTGGAAAATCAGCTGATGCAATGTGAAGAAGGTATCCAGCAGCTCGAAACTCAGATAGCAGTTGTTCAGGCCGATCTCCAAATACTGCGCTTACGTGCGGAAGAATACAAAGCAAAAATCGGATATTTCCAAAATTTGGCTCCAGGACATATTGTATAAAAACGAAAAAATATTCAGTAACTGTATTTTGATATAAAAATAAAATCGCGTTAAAATATTTTTATTTTATTTCAAATGTTAGCCAGGACGCTTTTGGTCAGATTTAAATTAGGTCTAAAATATCTATGGAACAGCTCTCGAACAGGTCTAGGACAGCCTTAAACAGACCCAAAACCTCTACGGAACAGGTTTCTACAGGTCCGACACAGATATGGACCATTTTGCTTCTTTAAACAGGAATGTTTATTTCGCATTGCGATCGAACAATTATTTTTGGTGACGCAAAGTATAACATACTGACAAAATGAAATTACGGAGTGAGATTTTTTTTTTTGCGTTTTTGTTCGCGTCGAAGGAAATGCGACGATAAACTCGATGTCGAAGGAAACGCATGCGGTAAGAATATCAAACGTTTCGATTAAACCATTTCTTGTGTCGCAGGAAAACACGTATGCCGTTCCTAAGCGGTCTAATATGAAAGTCTCGTTTAAAACATTTTTTTTTTGCGGCGAAGGCAGGCGACGCGATGATCTCACCCGCCAAAGTTTAGTTTAAACATTTCGCAAAGCGATGATGTCATGCATCCGCTGCCGCACACCGACGACGCGGCGGGCAATGATATCAGCCAGTTGTCAAACGCGACGGCGGCGGTACGCCTGAGTCATCGCACACAATCGCGCTGCAATTTACATTCACGCCGCGACCAACGGTCGAGTTTCGAAGCGAAGCGGCCCCATACGACGACGGTTTGGTTAGGTTAGGTCGCTAACTACGACCAATTTTATCAGCGGGTCGCGTTATATTGCGGAATTCTCGCCAACACAAATCTTAATTATTCTGAAGGAACGTTCTCGAATGTAATTTTAAATTCATTACCCCAGAAAAAATGGCTTAATTAACAAGTGACCGCCGCCATAGTGAGACTTCATTCTTTGGATTTTTGTTTGTGTTTCACCACTTAAAAAAAGTAAGTGTCAAGTAGAGATCTGGAACAGTTGGAGAGTGAGACGCCTATTCCTCGCAGCAAATAAAAATCTTCACCTGCGAATATTGCAACCGCTCGTTCAGCCGTAAAGACCACCTGGCGAGGCACGGGGACTGTCGCGCAGCAGTACAAATTTGTGACGTTTGCGGCGGGATATACAAATCCGAGGGGGCTCTCCGACGCCATAAACGCGAGAAGCATGAGGTTCCCAAGGCGAAAAGACCCGCCGCCGCCCCTATTGCTGCAGACGAACCCAAGCGCCCGAGACTTGACCTACCGGAAGGTAAGGATTTTTGATTTTATATCCCAAACAATTCTCATATTGTATTTTATAGCTTCGACATCATCATCATCACCATCATCCACGCGCCATTGTACGCAGTGTAACTTGACCATTCCTGCAATGAGATGGCAAGGACACTTGCGTACTTTGGCTCACCGCCAAAAATGCAGCGTGGTGCAGGAGCCAGGAGTAGAAATGATACAGACCTCCTTCCGTAACCGCATAGTTACATACCGTCTGGCGTCCACCATTAACCCTACCGACGTTAAGGGCTTCTTGGACCACCTTAGGTCCAAAATCCTTACGTTGGTAGAGTCGAACGTCCGACGCTACGGCAACGTAAAAGTCGGTATGGAGCTATTCGGAAACTTCCTCTTGCAGACGAAGGAACAAGAGGAGGTCAAGTCCTTCAATACCAAATATCGGCTGGTGAGCGGAAACACCGATCTGGAGGAGCTATACGTCCAGTTCGTCGACATCTTGGCTACCAAAGCGTCCGAGTTTCAGGAAAGGGACAGCGGTATGATTCATAAAAATGTATATTTCCGAACTAATTTCTTTCTCTTTTTTACAGGCTGGGCGTTGGAGGAACTTCTCCATTTAGAAATAGGGATTAACAAGTACAATCCCCTAAGGGCGTCGTCCTATGTTAACCTGCCCAAGGAAATCGAAGCCAAAAAAGCTGTTTTGAACTTGCAAAATACGGACGAAAAATGCTTTATGTGGTCGATCTTGGCTGCTCTTCACCCAATTCACTGGACAAATAACGCTAACAGGGTCAGTAACTATGTAGAATTTCAGAACGAGCTGGATTTTACAGGTATCGATTTTCCCGTTAAACTTAAGGACATATCCACTTTTGAACGACTTAATGAAATTTCGGTCAATGTCTATGGCCTCGAGAGAGTCTATAACAAAGTCCGTAATGATGTTGAGGTCGTTGGTCCTTTGCATTTTACTGAATCTCGTAAAGAGAGACATGTAAACCTATTATTAATTAGTAATGACTATGGAGAAAATCATTATTGTTTAATAAGAAGTATGTCTCGGTTGGTTTCAAAACAATTAACTAAAAGGTCCTCTACAAAGTTTTTATGCGATGGGTGTTTGGTTTATTTTTATAACGAAGAAAAACTAAAGCGTCATAAAGAACACGACTGCACTCACATTTCCATCAAACTTCCGATCACCGAATTGCGCAAGGATAAATACGGTAAAGATATTCCCGCGAATAAGCTGAAATTTGAAGAATTTGAAAAGAAATTAAAAGTTCCTTTTGTTGTGTACGCGGACTTTGAAACAGTCATGACTCCTTTACAGGTGGAAGGCGAACCGAATCCCGACAAATCGTTTACCGTCAAAACTCATATTCACGAGCCTTACTCTTTCGCCTACTATGTCAAATGTGACTTTGACGATTCCCAGTCTACTTTTAAACAGTACAGAGGTCGGGGCGCACACAAAATTTTCATTGAATGGTTGGAGAGCGACTGCAAAGCGCTCTACAACAAGTTCATGAAAACTTCCGTGCCCATGACCACTCTATCGTTTGAACAAGAGACCGGCTTTCGAAACGCTGTGGCTTGTCACATTTGCGAGAAGCCATTTAATGCAGAGGACGAAAAAGTAAGAGATCATTGTCATATGACGGGCGAATTTCGAGGTGCGGCTCACTTCACTTGCAACTTGAATTTCAAAGTTCCGCGGCACATCCCTGTCTTTTTTCACCATTTAGGTTTCGACAGTCATTTATTTGTAAAAGTTATGGCTGAAGAAGGGGAAAAGATCGATGTCATCGCCCAAAACAAGGAACGTTACATTTCCTTTACGAAACATGTCCTAGTCGATAACATTGAGTCGGAGAAAGGAGGCAAAGGGAAAAGGGTATTTTTAAAACTCCGATTTTTAGATTCATTTCGATTTATGGCATCCAGTTTGGACAGATTGAGTCGAAATTTGAACGATAGTCAGTGTCGGGAAGTCAAAAAATTTTTTAAAAATGAACAAGAATTTCAACTTATTCGACAGAAGGGCGTTTTGCCATATACGTATCTAGATTCTTTTTCAAAATTAGACGAAACCAAACTGCCATCGCACGAGGACTTTTATGACTCCATGCGAAAGAGCAACATAACCAGGGAGGATTACAAGCGTGCCTGGACTGTGTGGAATTTGTTCAAATGTAAAACTTTAGGCGAATATTCAGATATTTATTTAAAATCCGACGTTTTAATTTTAGCCGATATTTTTGAAAACTTCAGAGAAGTGTGTCTGAAAACGTACGGTCTGGACCCGAGTCAGTTTTATACGACACCGGGTCTATCATGGACGAGCGCCCTGAAGGCGACAAAGGTCGAACTGGACCTGTTGACCGACGTGGACATGATACACTTCTTGAAGCACGGTATCCGCGGAGGAGTCAGTCAGTGTAGTGTGAGAAAGGCCGCGGCTAATAATAAATTTTTACCTAATTACGACCCTTCCAAACCTATTTCTTACGTCATGTACTTGGACGCTACCAATTTATACGGGGCGGCCATGTCACAATACCTCCCAACGGGAAACTTCGAGTGGTTGGAGGAGGGCAAAATTCAAAATTTAGATATTACGCGTATCCCCAACGATTCACCTAGGGGCTATATTTTCGAAGTAGATTTGGACTATCCGGAAGTGCTGCATGACGCACACAACGAACTGCCTTTTTGCCCGGAATCCATCGTTTCGCCAATCGCGAAAACCAAAATGAGAAAACTTATTCCAAATTTAAACAATAAACGTAATTATGTATTGCATTATAGGAATCTGCAACAGGCTTTAAGCAACGGTTTAAAGCTTGTTCGCATCCATCGCGTTCTTGTTTTCGATCAATCTCCCTGGCTAAAACAATACATAGACTTGAATACGGCGATGCGTAATACAGCTAAAAATAAGTTTGAAAAAGATTTTTTCAAACTTATGAATAACGCTGTGTTTGGAAAAACGATGGAAAATGTGGACAAAAGGGTGGACGTGCGGCTCGTTTCCCATTGGGAAAATATTGGGAAAAGGTTGGGGGCAGAAGCGTTAATCGCGAGACCTAATTTTAAAAATGTCGCCATATTTAGCGAAAATCTAGTAGCTCTCCAGATGGAAAGGACTAAAGTCGTATATGATAAGCCTATTTACGCCGGATTTTGCATTTTGGACATATCCAAGACTCTCATATACGACTTTTTTTACGGCTATCTAAAGGCTAAGTACGGCGACAAAGCTGTCTTACTCTACACCGATACCGACAGCCTCGTTGTCCAAATTTTTTGCGAAAATTTCTACGAAGATATGAAAGAAAATTTGGACAAATTCGATACTTCTAATTACTCGGAGAACAACCAACACGGCATTCCTGTAAACAAGTCCGTTCTTGGTAAAATGAAGGACGAGTACGCAGGACGGCCGTTGTGGGAATTCTTGGGTACGGGAGCGAAAGCTTATTGCGTAAATGTGGACGGCAACGAGTTGACCAAAAAGGCCAAGGGCGTTGCTGACTCGGTCAGCCAGCGCGAACTTAGTCTCGACGACTATAAGCGCGCTGTCCACGAGGAAGGCACGCTAATCTTGCGCCAAATGTCTTCGTTTCGCTCACATTTACATGATATGTACGTCGAACTGAAAAATAAGGTGGCGTTGTCTTACGCGGATGACAAACGACATCTTATACCCGGCTCAGAGTACACGCTAGCTTGGGGCCATCGAAATTTAGTTGGTTCAAAGGACAGCGGGAAAATCACTGATTGATCGACCACCAGATATTTCTTTTGGCCAACTAATATGTTACGATTCCTTTAGATGATTGTAGTTTATATTTGTGTTTAATTTATGTATCTATTTATGTCCATATATGCTATTTATATATGCATATCGTTCGAATATATTTATTAATATGTGTCTATCCTGATGGGGTTTTGTATATGATTAATAAAACAATTTGTTCGATATTAGTGTCATTAAACGTCTTTTTCCCTGTTGCATTTTATTTAATCCGCAAAAAAAAAAAATGTTGTCAATAAATTATTATATTTTAAGCGACCTCGACGACCTTTTATTAGTTGAATTCTCTTATCGTCGCCGCCGCCGCGAAATCGTCGTCGGCTAGGCTCGGCTAGGCTCGACTAACGTAGCGCGCGGGGTTCGAGGTTCGAATCCCCCGACCGCGCGCGACACACCGGTCGCTTTTTTCACCTCGCGCAAAAATACGTCAAAACAAAAAGGCACTAACGCAAAAACTACCCCTAGCGGGGCGAAATTGCCAAAAAGGCACTAACGCGAAAACTACCCCCTACCCCCCATTCAGGGTGACATCTGGCGATCGAAACCTGAGCTCTTAATGGGTGGCGACATCTCTCGTAGAATGGTCAAACTAATTTTTTTTTTTCGGTTGCTTGGGAATCTGTAAATTTGCAATCACAAAATCTCCCCCGGGGGACGGGGGATGGTCAAGTCACGAATAATTACTACTCAAGGCGTCAATTTTTATAAAAATCGGAGGTCAGTGTCGGAGAAATAAGGGTTCTTCCCTTTTCTCCTCGTCTGTTTTTAACTCCGTTTTGAGTAATTTGTAATAATTTGAGAAAAAAATTCAGTACCCGAAAATGGACACACATTTGCAAGCAAAACAAAAAATAGGATACAAAAAAAACTATAAAATATAGGCCCCAATGCAGGCAATAGTTTAAATACGGGAAGTTACATTTTTAAACATAAATTCAGATTTTCGGTGGCAATATAACTCTATTTTTTGTGTTTGTTAAGATTTATATACATAATATCAAACCAGCCTTTGGAAACGTCTGGTTAATGGCCACAGGCCATTAGCTTCTAAATAAACGCGAGATATTATGAAAACCGAAAAAGTTTGAATGGAATCTAACGTTTTCTTTTGTTTCTCAAAGTAGTAATTAAGCGGAAAAGTACTCGTAGTATATTGATTAATTGTAGAAATGTCACATTTTCTACATAACAACTTAAATTAAATAAAATGCAAATTAAATTATTAAAAATTACCGCTTTGTTGTATTCGTTATTTGCTATGCCCGAACCTACGACGACACTGGAGGGTAGCTTAAAATTTGACCTGCTTGGTTTACCTGCCTTTCGTAGGAATGCGGGTTGTTTCACGTGTCAGTCGAAGTTTAAAGAAGCGTTTGTGTTAAGGGTTCGTTTCTGTTATCCACGTTTGTTGCTTAATGCAATATCGCCAACGAGTTTAAGTTTTGTGTTCATTGTGTATTTCATATACGGATAAATAAAACAAAAAAGACTGGAAAAAGATAGGTAAGAAGCTTTCGGAATTGCGACTTTAATGAGTAACCGCGTAACATTTTGGCCTAGTATTATGTATATGTTCGACGAGGTTTCTATACTTAATTAAAAAAAAAATTTGGGAGTGATCAAAGGAGGCTGAGGTCGGAGATACGGATCTTTTTTAGTTTAATAAAACAACCAAAAATGCTCGCTTACGTTTTTGAAGTAGGTAAAAAGGAAACAAAATTTTAATAGAAATAACGCACGATATATCTCCCAAAAAATTCAGCCATATGAACAACGCGAAGAAGTTAAGCAGATAAAATTTTACAAGATTTTTGGGGACAAAGTGTAAATTCGGATTGTGGAAAGTAACAGATAGAGAGAATGAGTTACCTATATAGAAAAAGAGAGACAGAAAGGTAGATTTATTTAAACGTTTCTCAATCATCCACCCATCGGAGATAATAAATAACATTCGCTAGTTTTTTTTTGCATGTATTGAGTTAAGTTCGGAATAGAAATATATCAACAGTAACAATTTAAATATGGTAATTTTTGGGGATTGTCATACGTCCGTCAGCGTATTAAAAATATGGTTTTAGGGGTTAGAACTTTTTAAGTTTCAAGAAAAAAAACTCATGTTGAAATTTTTGTATTCGGAAGCTTCTGTTGTTTATTAATTTATAGACACTGGAAAATATAATAATAAAACATCCTACAGTTGACGATACGTGTCCTCTTAAACTCGAAAAGAGCTAATTTATCTTAGAAGAGTACGTATTTTTGGTAAAATAGATATTTTTTATATTAAATATTTGACCGATCGATGTAATTCGTCAAGCAGAAATCGAGAAGAAAAGTGACGCTTGTGCTGTTTGCTGACAATCCGACCCTGCTTCGTGTACAAATGCAATGACATTTCGGCAGGGCTATAGGCTACGAAACCTTTCAAACTCGAAAAGGACGAACTATTTTAAAGAAAAAAGGTACTTCATTTTTGGTAAAAGTAATAGATATTTTTTTTTTACGCTAAATATTCCACAGATCGATGTAACTCGTCAAGCAGAATCCGAGAAGAAAAGTGACCGGGGGTGCTGTTTGCTGACAATCCGGCCCTGCTTCGTGTACAATTGCATAGCGGGAAGACCTGAAAGATTTCGAAACTGCGTGCGTGCGTGGAAGGCTGCGTTGGGGCGAATTTTGAAAATTACTGAAAGTCCAACGATTTTGGACAATTGGCAGACGATATAGAAACTGCGTGAGTGGAAGTCTGCGTTGAACAAATTTTGAAAATATCTGAATGTTTAACGACTTTTGGAGAATTCGACAGAGCTACAGACTACGAAACCTTTCGAAACGAACACACGTGTCCTGTTGAACTTGAAAAAGACGAAATTATTTTTAAAAAGGTATATTGTTGCTAAATAATAGTTTTTTTTTTAATTAAAATATTTGACAGATCATGGTAACTCGTGAAGCAACATCTCAGAATTGAATCGGCGAGTTGTGTATTTGCTGACAATCCGAGCCTGCTCCGTTTAGATCTGCATAACGAGGAATAAAAAAATCAAAAAAGGGGTTAACGATTTGGATCATTTTGGAAGATACATACGCCGCGCTTTTCAAAGCGGACAGACGTGCCCTTGTCCAACTGAAACGAACACACGTGTCCTGTTGAACTTGAAAAAGACGAAATTATTTTTAAAAAGGTATATTGTTGCTAAATAATAGATTTTTTTTTTAATTAAAATATTTGACAGATCATGGTAACTCGTGAAGCAACATCTCAGAATTGAATCGGCGAGTTGTGTATTTGCTGGCAATCCGAGCCTGCTTGGATCATTTTGGAAGATACATACGCCGCGCTTTTCAAAGCGGACAGACGTGCCCTTGTCCAACTTGACAAAGGCGGAATTATTTTAGGAAAGGTATATTATTTGTAAAAAAATATACAATTTTTTAAGTAACATATTTGACAGACCATGGCAACTAGTAAAGCAGAATCCGAGAATTCAATCGGCGGCTGTATGTTGACTGACAAGAATATAATTGCTGTTAATCAGGCCCTGCTTCGTGTACAAATGCATAGCGGGGAGACATGAACATTTTTCGAAATTGCGGACCTATCCTCTTGGGATTCTACGTTGGACAAATTCTGAAAACGACCCCAGAAATATAATTGGTGAGAAAATAGTTTTTTTTTTGTGTTAGCAGTTAACAATTTTTTATTTTGGAAATAAGGGGTTTCAGTATGTACTGGTATTAGTGAATCAATTTAATGGCCTCAGCATCTCTAAACTCCCCATCTTGAGACGCGTTAACGATCCGGATCGAGTTACGTCGCGTAATTATGTCACTTTTTTAATTAAAAAATGAAAGAGATGTACCTACCATACTTTAGAAACCCCTACTCCTCTTTGGAGGTGATGAAATAAGTTTTAGCATAAAATATAAGTTCCTCATATTACTTTGATATGATAAGTACAAGTCTTGCCTGTTTTTTTTTTTAAAGGAGGTTCAAACCCGTGCGAGGTGAGCTTTCATATATGAAACAGACCAGTCATGGGGACCCGATATATGGAAAGTTTCAGCGTAGTCGTCGCCACATTGCTGCCAACACTGCATATATAAGGAATCACGAACCATTCAGGTAAAATTTTGAAAACATATATTTATGGAAATATAGAACCTCTCTTTTTTTAACATGAATATTGAGACTTAGACCAGTTTCTTTTTAAGTAGGCATGTGGAGTAAAGAAGACGCAGAAGCTTCAGTCGGGTACCATCGGTAACGTAGGCGATTGATATATTTCCACCACTACATATGTTGGATTGGAATTTCCCATTTGATGCTTTGACTGACTAAATGAGAAAACTTGGAGGTAAGCTCTTACGGAATTCTATGGAAATATGTTTAGTAACATATTGGTGCATTACTCTGTCTTCCAGTCAGTTTCACATAAACTTTGCACGTATTATAGAAATGCCACCTACTTTTTTTTGTGTTAATATTATTGGAAGTAGTAGCTGGTAGCTGTAGTCGTAAGCCCAGAGAGTCTCTGTTTTGAACATAATACACATAATGGGGCGTTCAATAACTCTGATTGCTTAGACTGCATGGCTTTTAGAGTCGGCGTAAACTATGGTCATATACCCCTGATCAAAATCAGAACTAGAAAATCGTTGTCTCTCTGCATTAAAAATAATAGTAAAATTTATTGTAGGCACCTAGTAGAGTATCGAAAATTTCCATTTTTAGTGCCAAATTGGTTACTCCAGTAAATTCCAACTGTTCTAATTTTTTTTTAATAATTTATGATGTTAGTGAGTTTCATTTCAATTATTTGTTACTTTAATTTTCTGCGTATTAAACCTTAATTAACAATACGCTATTCGTTAACGCAGGTAGAATTAATGACGTTGACTAACCTGATTTTGTCCAGGAGGGGCGTAGTACGGTAGTTTGTACTGTGGTGTTTGGTAGTTTGGCAGTGAGCTCTCATTTATAAA